CATTCTTCTTCTTCAATCATTCCACCAAAAACAAATACACACACATACTTACACATTCATGTATACTCATGCACAGAATTTTCTAATATTTCTCATGGAATGCAGATGTTGGTAGCTGTTTAGTTAAATCCCATTTGAACAGTTATTTTTCTTACTTCTTCAACTATGCTTTTTAAAGTGTTAAGAAACTATGCTATGCAGAGTTAAAACAGTACCATGGAGACAGCAGATTAATTCTAGGTCTGTCCTGAAATCCATCCTTGTCTATCCTACAATGTCCTTCACCAGCCTTGACCTAAGAGGTTAGTTTTATTACAGCGACACTGAAATATAATATCTCAGTAAAGAAAAAACCCCACAAGAGCACTATATCCTTTGCCTTTTTTTCCTTTTTGTGCTATACTTGGAACAATTCTGTCTGAGCAGATCAGCCACTCAATGTCCAGCGGTCTTGGCTGACAGACTACATTCCAAAATGGATACTTACGCAGAATGAAGAGGGGAGGGTGTGGGCAGTAGACTGACAGAGAGCCAGCTTGTGGCCATATGCAAACGAGACAGTTTGAAGTCAAGCCTGCCTGTTCCTCCTACTCTCCCATCCTCTTCAACTTGCAGGCAGCTGTCAGTGCTGCCCAACTGCCTCGCCCATGCCAACCGAAGAACATTCTCTAGATGGCCCAGCCTATATTTTTTCTTTCTGCCTCCGTGGAGTCTTCACCACCACCCCCCCCCCCCACTGTGCAAGGAGCAGGCACCCCAGTGTTTCATGTGATTATTTTCCCATTTGCCATCCCATGCTGCTAATTTAATTTTAGCACTGTGCATGTGAAGAATTGTCCATTTATATTCTTAAAAGGCAACAGAGGCCATTAGGCTTGCTCACATATTCAAATGTTCCTTTCCAGTAACAGTGTGAGCTGTCTGATTTGACAGATTTCTGAAGCTGCAATCTTTGACATACAAAATGTCATATAGAGCCTTTAAATCCTAGGACTGAGTTATCTGGGGGGTTAAAAAAAAAAAAAAGCACCTTCCCAGGAGTTGTGTTTCTTGATGATTAATGCTTATGAAATATAACAGATACTATGAGATAGAAAAACACCAGGTGACAAGGAAGTAGCTCTTCACAATTATTTCAAGAATTTTATTTTAATGCTACTAGCCCCGCCAATTGCTGCTCACCATCTCCAACTCGAAACAAAAACAATTCTTTCCTTTATTCAGACCACATGCTAATCATATTTCCCTTCCTTTCCACAAGTACAGATCAATACACAGATGCACACAAAGATGCCTTATTCTCTGCTAAAGGCTTTGTGAGGAAAATGGATGAGGATGGGTGAGTGGAAGAAGAGAAAGGAAGCTCATGAGGGTAGAGAAGTGATTGTGTAACTGAATGTGCTACATCTACTTCAAAGAGGGAGCAGGCATCATTTCCAAAGAACACCCACTTCCTCTTGCTACTTTCTACTGCACTTTTTAAAAATAACTTCTATTTTTAGGGCAGTTTTAGGTTCACAGTAAAATTGAGCAAAAGGTACAGAGAGTTCCCATATACCTCCTGTCCCTATAAGTACAACACCTCACCCATTATCAACATCCTCACCAGAACGGTATGCTTGTCACAGTTGATGAGCCTATATTGTCACATCATAATCATCCAGAGTCTATAGTTTACATTAGGGTTTACTCTTGGTATTGTACATTCTATAGATTTTGACAAATGTATAATGACGTGCATCCACCATATTATCATACAGAATAGTTTCACTGCCCTAAAATTCCTGCTCTGCCTGTTCACCCTTTCCTCCCCCACTTGCCCCTAGCAACCACTGATCAGTTTACTGTCTCCATAATTTCGCTTTTTCCAGAATCATATGGTTTGTAGCCTTTCCAGATTGGCCTACTGCACTTAGAAATATGTGACTTTCACGTGGTATATGGAAACCAACTACAATAAACTATGAAAGAAGAAAGAAAAGCAAAAAAGGAATATGTGACTTTCATCCTTATCTTTTCAGAATTTTTACATTGCATTTTCTTTGATTGCAGACATGGATACTAACCAAATCCAAGAACACAATTAAAACAAATGTAAGATTCAGGGAATAGATGACATTAGTTTCCCTAAAAAGAAAACAGTAAAACAGTATCTTCTTCTGCCATTCATGACATTTTTTTACTTTAGTAATTTCAAACAAAACATCAAAAGCAAAGTATGGGAGGCTGAGGGACACAGTGAAAAGAGCCAGAAAGCTCTGGCTGTGAAACCCAGCTCTCACTCTTGCATACCTGTAAGGTTTGGGGGGAAGTTCCTTAGCCTCTTGTGACCCTCAGTTTCCTCACCTATAGAAATAGGCTGTGTTTACAACTTCATATAACACCAGCACAGTACCTAATCCATCTCAGGTACTCAAAAAAATTATTTGAGAATCATAATGCAGATGTGTGGCAGTATACAATGATTAACAGAGAAGCATTTGCTTTCCATGAACTTAAAACTGAAGAAAATAAATATGCCTCTCAACTAGAAAAATGCATATGTGATGGTTGCACTAACTAACTATAGATTTTAACTAATCTCAAGAATTTACAGGCTCCTGGATGGCGCAGTCAGTTAAGTGTCCAACCTTGATTTTAGCTCAGGTCATGATCTCATGGTCTGTGAGTCTGAGCTCCAGGTTAGGCTCTGCTCTGACAGTGCAGAGCCTGCTTGGAATTCTTTCTCCCTCTCTCTCTGCCCCATCTCCCTCTTTTCATTTCTCTCTCTCTCTCAAAAATAAATAAATAAACATTAAAAAAAAGAATTCAGAACAGCTCAAAAGTGAAATCAAAGTAATTGTAATTTGATTAGCAAGAGCCATTGCAATTGAATTGTACCATGTCTAAAGAAAGACTGAGTATTAAAAAATGAAGAAGATAAGGACTGAATAAACCAAAGGAGGATGGTAAGATGGAAAAAAAAAAACAAAACCAAAAACTAACATCCTAGAGATTGGTGGTAGTTTCCAGACTACCCTGAGGAGAGTGATCAGGAATATGGGGAATGTATCCCCTCAGATATGATACCTTATTGTAGAGCAGGTATGATTCACTAGGTATCAACTGACTTGGTTGAAATATCCTTTATTTTCCTTTATTTCCTCTTCCTCTATGCTGATTATATGCTTACTGAACATCATCCTGGTTATTCTTTTGGCTTCTGGTTATGTTGATTCCAAAGTGAAAAAAGTGTCCTGAATAGCAAGCACCACCATCCCACTCTAGAAAATAATATCTCCATTGTATATTCATGACTTGTCTATCTGGGTTATCTACTTCAGTCTTTTAAGTTCGATTGGCATTACTTCTGTGAGTCCTGTGAATGCTAGGATACTGAACAACTCTGAGGTGATGTGAATCACAATGAATTCACCAGCCAATTTGGTCTTTTGACAATCACCTCATCTTATCCTGGTGGGTGGAATCTTGTCTTCCTCTCATTACTCCTATACCCTACCCTTTTCCTATCCATAAAAGCTGTCAATATTGGTTAAAAACAATGTTTGAGGGGTGCCTGGGTGGCTTAGTGGTTAAGCATCCGACTTTCACTCAGGTCATGATCTCACGGTTCGTGGGTTCGAGCCCCGCGTCGGGCTCTGTGCTGACTGCCAGCTCGGAGCCTGGAGACTATTTCAGAGTCTGTATCTCCCTCTCTCTCTGACCCTCCCCTGCTCACACTGTCTCTCTCTCTCTCTCTCCTAGAAATAAATAAAAATATTAAATAAATAAATAAATAAATAAAAATAAAAACCATGTTTGATTTCCATTGGAAGACAAAAGAAAAAATTCAGGTGAAGACAGTGCTGTCACAGGAAATGAAATAAAGGAAATGACTCTTTAGATCATAGAAAAAAAATTTCTCCAATTTTTCAGTTATTTTGGGGATGGGAGAGAATTCATAATTCTCAAAGCAAAAAGTCTCAAATGAAAGAAAATGTGATAAATTTTAAAATAAGAAGATAGGAGATATGTCACAAAATAGACAACATAGGAAACAATTCCAGTGATCTCAGAGATCTAGGCAATAGTTCTCAAAGCAAAATGAAATGTAGACATTCATTAACACAACAAAGGGAAAGATATGCCCCCAAAAGAAAGATGCAGGGAGCACTATTTTCAAAAAGGGTAATTAAGAAACAAAAATAAATATCTTGGTATTGTGCTTGCCAATTGGAAAATTACTGAATTTAAGATAAATGGCCTTGAAAACTCAACCAAACTGAATCCATTTTAGTGGACTATTCAAGACAGAGAACTATCTCTCAAGTCCTTTGGAAAATAATGGAATTCAAGTGCAGTACTAATCCAATAAAGAATTTTCAAGAGTCAATATCAGCTACTTAGCATGGTGATAGGCACAAAGCCATTACTGTTGACTCCACTTCCGTTACTCAGAAGTATTGCTTTGCTATTAAACTATGGCTTTAGGGGATATTTAGACCTTTTCCCCCTAAGCATCCCTTGTAATTTATTCCATCTGGAAGGTCTGCATCAAGCATAATTTAAAATCTTCAGGCTCTATTCTCTCCTGGTGTAGAAGCATAACTCCCATTAGTGCTAATGAAAGCTATCTGTACAACTCAAGCAGTGTACCTCTCATAAGTGTTTAAGAACCAAAATGTTTTATGTCCTGTGAGAGAAGCAGCATTAAAGAGAATCTGGATACAATTTAACAAGGTTAAAATGCAAAGGGTGGATTGTTTTCCAGATGACAGTATTCCTTAAAAAGTATGTCATGTTACTGTCAAAAGAGACTAGCAGGGTTCTCACATGCTCACTGGGAAGAGGGAAAGAAAAAAGAAGTCTCAATTTTGAACATACACAAAGAATAAGAAATACTTCTATTTTATAAAAGGAAGTTTGGGTGTTGAGGTTGTTATTCTTCCACTATTTTTGTTTGGATTTTTGAGAGGAGAGGGATATGTGTGTGTCATAAGACTCAAGAGTATGATCTTTTATTGTATTTACTGATAGACCTTAAATAACTTGCTGTTGTTCTTTTTCTTTGCATTAGGATGCAAAGAAAAAAAAAACTCTCTGCACTTTCTTTGTCGTAGCCCAGATTGAATAAGGGAATATATTTGCAAAAAAAGCAAAACAAAACAAAAAACAAACAAACAAAAAAAACCCAACCAACCAAAAAAACCAAGAGTACATACTTTATCTGCAGAGTAGCTCCTTGCCTAGGGTCAGACACTCATCAAATCTTGTGCGGGCCCTATGATGCTTCAGCTAGATTATTAGAAGATTAGAAATATGTTCTGTAAACCTGTGACTAAAAGCTGTCATTTCCCATCTCCATCTCACTCAACCACTGCAGGATTCTTGTTGTTCTGGCCAGTGTGCTGCTGGGTTTCACCGCAGAGTATCCCCAAACTGCACTCCAAGCAGCCTGCGGCCATTTCCTCCAACAGCAGCACCAAACTTGGAGCTTCCTCCCACAGGTCCTCTAGACAGCTGGTGAGCTTGTTTGGGTACTAAAATCTCTGAACTGCGGCAAAAGCAAATCTGTTTCAAGGCCCGCCACCACCCCTTACTGAAACCAAGGGGATACTGAATGCTTCCTGAAAACACAGAAATAATCCTGAAGACGATTAAAGGATTTCATCATATTTTGAAATCAAATGGCTGTTCAAAAAAACCTGGGATAGTCTCCAAGTTTTGATGTGGGAAAAATTTTGGTTATCATAACATTATCACTGAGGCTCTACGTGGCACAAAACATTGATATAAAGCAACATCACTGCTGATTAAACACCATTAGCATATTCAGTTGGAAACACAAATGTAAACACAGATTTCCAATGTTTGTACCATGTACAATTGCAAAATTCATCTTTGGGCAGGAGTGAATAAATAGAGACTCAGAGACAGAAGAAAAGCTAGTGTGCACACTCAAAGAATGTGTAAATGAATGCTTCAAGTAGCTGAGGAGGTCTTATTTATCTTATTTTAAAAAACACTGGTTAAGTTCTCTTTTTTTTTTCTTTACAGCTTGTAGCTATTATGTACTTGTGATCTTGCCAGTGGAATGTGGCTGGAAGCATATGTTTAATAAAAGTGTGTGCGGGCGCATACACACACACTCACACACACATTAAAGCAATACTGTGGCTTCCTTTTAAACTGACAGATGTAAAGCACTTTGGGCATTGAGGCACTCCTATTTTAACTCTCCACATTATGTTCAGGCACTTGGAGCCTGAGTATGTTAGTTAGAGCAAAGGGAAATAAGAAAGCCTTATGCACATCAAGAACGGCAAGAGCTGACAGACAGTCTGGAACAGTTACTTTTGCTTGTCCAGATTTTGAAAGTGTTTTCCCCGTCTTTGATTTCATACATTTCAGTCCAGGTTGTGCATAATTGGTTTCCTCTGCACTGACCTCTACAAGCTCACAGACCACTCATCGCCCACCTGTACAACCATCTAGACCTTAGTACTGGTATTTTGTGCCTTTACGTCCATCTTTCTTTCCCTCCCACGAATTCCTAATTTGTTGTTGTAAACCATATTAACTCTTCATGGATTAAGGGTCACTATAAACAAATAATTTTCAAATATGCATACATATTATATAGAAACACAGTAAGACAATATTAAAGTTATGTTTATATTGGGCTGAAGTAGCTCTTTATCCCGTGCTCTCTAGGCATCAAAGATGGATCATGTGAAAAAGTCTGAGATTCAAAAAACTGAGTTCATATCTAGATTTTGCTACAATCTAATGATTGTGTGTAGTTTTTCTTGTAGTCATTTAACCTTTGTAACTTTCAATTTCTTAATTTCTAAGATGGTAGAGCTGCAATACATAAGTGGTTTTCGATTTTTTTAGTAACAGAATCCTTTATCTCATGTAAAAACTTACCCAAAACCAATATTTAAAAGAGCCAAGACTGAAATAGCTCAAGTTGAAGCTGATTGGAGTGAGGGGCTCTTTCTCTACAACCTTCTCTTTTTTATCTCCCATTTCACCTTCAGAGTTACCACCATTTCCTCTGTGAAATCTGAGGACCACCACCGAAAACTTGTGAAATACATCATCTTCACAGACTCATTCAGACTGAAATTATTTTATTCTAGGTATACTTAGAACAAGAGTGGTAGCCAAAACATTTAACATAACGCAGTATGGGCATCAACCAGTCAGCCTAAACCTACCAGTAACCAAATCTCTGCTTACCACGTGGGAATCAGCACTGACTTTGAGATTCAGACCAAGCATATTTAATCACGAATGAATAACTGAAGCTCACTTACAGGGTGAATATCTGACAAACCTCATTAGCAGGGCTGTTGGGAGAATACAGTGAATTAATGACTAAGAAAGTGGATGGCATGCTATAAAGCATTACAGGGATGAAGGAAGAGCACACAGACTCTAAAATCAGTGCTCCTCAAACACATACAGCTCCTAGAAACAAACATCAACTTTCAGAGTCAATGCAATCTAAATCTTTATTTTAAAAAAATCTTCCTTGGGGCACCTGGGTGGCTCAATCGGTAAGAGCCCCCAACTTCAGCTCAGGTCATGATCTCCTGGTTTGGGCTCACTGCTGTCAGCCTGCTTCAGATCCTCTATTCCCCCCCCCACCCCTCCCCCACTTGTGCTCTCTTAAAAATAAACAGTATAAAAAATCTTCCCTAGATATAAACTCCATAGACACAGATGACTAAAAGTTTTACCCAATTAGCATGGATACACACAGCACTTAACTTCGCCATCTGAAGCACCTGAATTCAGTTAGTTCCTGGCATTCAAATCTTCCTCAAGGGATTTTGGAGGGCTGGTAATGTTTCGTTTCTGGATTTGGGTGCTGATGTATTCAGTTTGCATAACTTTACTGAACTGTATTTTTGTGATCTGCACACTTTTCTCTATGTATTCATACTTGAATAAAGTTCTTAAAAAAAAAATCTTCTCAGGAACATAAGACAGGAAATTTCTTTAGAGCTAAATGTGTGTACTGGTTTCCCACTGATGGTAACAAAATTACCATAAATTTAGCAGCTTCAAACACAGCTTTCATGTGTCATCACGAGTCCAGCATGGCTTAGCTAGGTCCTTCCATCAGAGACTCACAACAATGCAATCAAGGTATGGGTGGGGCTGCATCTTCATCCAGAGGCTTGAGTGAGGAATTTACTTCTTAGCTCTCTCAGCTTGTTGGCAGATTTCATTTTACTTGAGCATCCAGGATTGAACATCCATTTCCTACTGGCTATCAGCTGGAAGTCCCCCTCTAGTTCTAGAGGCCACTCACACTCCCTACCATGAGACCCTCTGCATAAGTGACCCACAATAGGGCAGTTATTTCCTCCAGGCCAGCAGACTCCACTAAAATAGACTCATATATAATGAAATATAATTAACTCATCACTTTTGCCATATTCTACTGGTTAGAATCAAGTCACAGGCTCCACGCACACCCAAGAGGAGATCACTAGGGGCTTGCGTTAGGGTAAGTCCAACACAATATCTAAAAGTATTCACTACTTGTGCTTGCTTTTCCCCAGAACAAAAATACAGTTGTCTCTAAAAGAAGCTCAAGTATCCAAAGTAGAGAAAATATTGGGCAGTATCTGTCTTTTGTGTTCTGGAACTGCCTGAAATTTTATATGACAGCTTTACAAGCTTCTTAATCAAGAATTCAGTTTCATTGAGGATCACTGCATTACCTACATGACGCATAGTAAGTGTGGTAAGAAACGGTCAGATATTGGATATAGACTCTTGAACTAAGAATTGATGTCCAAGATGGAGATACAGATTTAGGAGTCACTGAGAAAAATAGGCATGACATCGTAAGGTCCTTAAGCCGTACTGGAGTCATATTATCCCAGCTAACAGAAGACAAAAAGATCCTGGGACTGGGGGTGGGTGAGATAATGAAACTAGAAGAAATGTGAGACCTCACTGATATTAATTGATTGGACTCCAAAATCATATTATATAAGGTTCCTTGGATCCCACTTTACAACCATAACTCCCTGGGAGGTAATTGAGGATAGTGTCCAAAACCCTATACATGTGAACCAAGGGTCAGCTGGCTTGGTTGACACATTCTCTACTCACAATAAAAAAGGGTTGGGCTAAACCAAAGCAGGACATTGAAGGGTCACATCTCTTCATAGATATTTCAGTTGTTAACTGCTTATGAGTTTGTTTTTTCCTTTACAAATGGTAGTACTTTACCATCTTGCCACTGATTGTTTCCTTGACCTCTTGAGATTTGAGGCTAATAAACCCTGGTGAAAACACTAGCATGAAAGAGCTGGTGCTTGAGTTGGATGGTTATTCAAGGTGCCCAGATATTTGGTTAAACGTAATTCCTGAGTGTGTGATGAGGGTGTTTCTGAATGAAATCAACATTTGAATCTGTACACTGAGTAAATCAGATTGCCCTCCCCAGTGTGGGCAGGCCTCATGCAATCTCTTGAAGGCCTAAATAGAGTAAAAGATGACTCTTCTGGGTCCCGACTTCTCAGACTCCATAATCATGTGAGCCAAGTGCTTATAATAAATCTTTCCCTCTCTTTCTCTCCATATACATTCATACACATATATAGGGGATCCCTATATATACTAAGGTCATTGACAATCAAACTCTGGGTTTTGTATCTAGGCTGCTGCCAGGGAACTAAAAAGGAAGTTTCACTCTTTCACTCATTGGATCTCATGTATCCAAGATGCTTCTCTTGAGGTAATTTATATGAAAATGCTTAGTAAACTTAATGTCCTTTGTACACACCACTATTTTTCATGTCACCTTAATCCCTATTTCTTTCTTTAAAAAGTACCATTCTAATAAAGAATACAGGACACTTTCTAATGAAGAAAATATGAACTAAAAATTAAAAGTAGATAAGTTTTCTAATATATAAGATAAATAACTACATAAAAACTTACACTAGTGTACCTATCTACACTGATCAATTAACTAAAGAATGATGGAATGTCCATTTTAGTTCAGACATATAAATAAGACCTAAGTTGTAGGAAATGTAAGAGATGCTAAAAGCCACTTAGCACTCTCAGCTAACTGTTCCTTTGTATCTTTGCACCTTCAATTTCCTTTAGTGA